TCACATCCTCAGTTGTATACAACATTCTGTCCCATTGAAGTTTACATGTGATGACGCTGATTTGCATATGATCTAGTTTCAAATAAAGTGTCTTCCAAAAATAAGCAGGTGACTAAAAGATTCCTTCCAAAAAATCGAATTGATTAAAATTATAATAAAGCACATAACATAAAAAAAGTTAGTGCTGCTAATCCTTGTCTGAGCTCTTATGGCATAAACACTGGTAAATCAGATATGAAATATCACCCTCTCAGGAAAATCTGAGATTGTCAAAGAGGAGTACAGTAAAAGCTTGGATTGTGAGTAACTTGGTTTGTGAGTGTTCTGCAAGACGAGCAAACATTTCTAATACTTTTTTTTAAAGAGTTTTATTGGGGAATTGGGGGAAGGGGAACAGACAAGTTTGCTGTTGTTTTTTTGTTCTTCAGTCTAGTTGTGGAGGACGTTGCTTCACTGTCCCAAGTTGGCACCATCATTGTGCTCTTCCTGGGCGAGGCAGATAAGTCTCTGGCTTCTGGACGGCCGCTCACTGCGGCTGCTGGCCGCTCACGCTGGCTGCTGGCTACACACGGTAGCCCATGGCAACCCACTGGGGCAAGGGCTGCAGCCTACGCCGTCGCTGGTGACTCACGGCAGCCCAGCTCCAGGTTGAGCTGTTGTTCAGCATCTTAGCTGTATAGGGCAGTCTCACTGGCCCTCGTATGTGGGATCCAAACCAGGGCCCTCTGGTGTCCCAAGTCAGCTCTTAACCAATGCGCCACTCGGCCGGCCCTCTAATACATTTTAATGTGGTAAATGAGCGATGTCTTGCAATAGGAGTAGTTTGTTTCCGGAACGAATTATGCTTGCAAACCAAGGTGTTACTGTATTTGAAATATGCTTCTGTATTTACTGTTGTTGAAACTGTATCACTGTATCTTGCCTAAGTGTACAGTGTCACTTGACATATAGCTAAATGATAGCATATCATAACAAATTAGCAAGGCATTTAAGAAAAATGCATTCTGAGCATAAAAATTAACCTTTATGAGTTTTTTCCAGAGATACTTGACAAAGCCTTACAACATTCAATGCAGTACTTTACAAAATTTCACTAAATTTAATTATAAATGTTTACAAGGCCCCTTGAGATTCTTGTTGAAGAGTAAAAGACAAAGTCATACTACTGGGAAACACTTGTTTTTCTTAACCTTGGTCGAAATGACTGAAATAATACATGTAATGTATGGCCAAAAATTAAAATGTGTTCCTTTGTCACCAAATTCCTTTGTAAACATTGCTAATTTGGAGAAACCAGTATTAGAACAATTATGCATTGTGGAAGATTGGCTTTAAGGTTGATGAACATATAGGTGTTTATGACATACTTCCCCTCAGTATTTGCTAAGTTGTGTTTCAGTGATAAAAGACTTCTTTGGGGGGGAGGGGTGAATAGTAATAGTAAAAGCAAATAGAAGCTACACAAATGTATATTCTCAACATAAATGTCTTCTCTAATAACCATTCCTGGGAGAAAAACCATAGTCACTTAAGGTGACAAACTTCACTGCATCACTCACAGGCAAATCACTGCAGCAAAGAAGTCGATCCAGGAGTTTACGAAGAGCTGTTATAGTGTCATCAATGTAGTTTAGTTAATTTTGTGAAAGTAAGACCTTTAATATATAGTGAGTTATTTACAGTGCTTATAAATGAGATGAGAAGTGATCAAGAAAGTAATTTTACCACATAGAGGTTTGCTGATTGTCTTATAGCAAAAAGTTCTTTGCTTTTGAAGAGTTTGGAACTTAAAATAGGAGTTGCTAATTCTTCAGCAGTCTGCAGATATTTTTGGATAAAAGAAAACACTCTTAATCTTTTTAAGATTAAGATTACTTTAAAAATAATTATTTTAAAGAAAATGGTGTTAGCAAAAGCATTTGGGAAATGTTTGGAAGTGATTTGTTTTGTGATTTTTGTTGGGAAAAAAAGATCTGTGTTGAATATCAAATTTGTATATTTTAAATACTTCGGAATTTAGGTATATGTTCCAGGAAAACTCATAACATATGCACCCAGGTTGTTCAGAACAGCACTGTTTTATAATTTTAAAAAATGAGGGCTGGCCTAGTGGCGCGATCGTTAAGAACTGGCTTGGGACGCCTGAGGGCCCCAGTTCAGATCCCACATACGAGGGCCAGTGACACTGCCCTCTACAGCTAAGATGCTGAACAACAGCTCAACCTGGAGCTGGGCTGCCGTGAGTCCCGGTGACGGCGTAGGCTGTA